GAAATGAAATGAAATGAAATTATAAAGCCTCTGGAGCCTGGGGAGGGCGAAAAAAGCATGCAAAAAATGGGGGGGGAGCACCTGTAGTGTGCACATGTGCACTGGGGGGTCGTGCATTGCATTATGTGTGTGGCACACCCGCACATGACCCCCCCCCTGCACTTCCCCCCTTATGGCACGTGAGCCAAAAAAGGTTCACCATCGCTGCAATAGGTGGACAAAAATGCCAAATCCTTCTAAATATTTGGCTGATTGCAACAAACCACAGAATACTATGTAATGATATTATTGATGATAATATCATCTGAAGTCCATTCAGGTGATTGACAAGCAAACACCTCTGCACGAAATGCAAAAATTGTTTTGGCATTCCCTTCTCATCAAAAGAGACAGTTGTCCCTAGAACATCAACTCCATCATCCTGTGTCAAAAGGGTAGTTCATTATAAATGCAGCTACCAAACTCTACTTTGCGGTTGTCTTCATGTATACATATATTATTCTTTTTTAAGAGCAATGTTGACCCACGAGATGAAGTATTTGGCTATCCCCATCCATATGAAGATAAACCAACTTTAAGTAAAACAGAAGACAGAAAAGAGTACAACATAGGTGTACTAAGACATCTCCAGGTCATATTTGGCCACTTAGCAGCTTCTAGATTACAGTACTATGTGCCGAGAGGATTTTGGAAACAGTTCAGGTAAATGAGAAGTTAACTTTTGTTGAAATGTCTTCTACGATATGTTACAAGCAGCATGCACTTGATAAATCATTAAGATAATTTAATTATATTTCTGAATTGATAATAGTTTTATGTGAACTTTCTAACCTATGTAAAAAGCAAGCTAAAATTGCTCAAAGTAAAACAAGTTACTGGGTAGTTCAAATAAAATCTTGTTGTAGATTGTTGATACAACAAAATGCAAACAAAAGCTTTAAATTCATGCGGGCTCCATAGTAGGAAGATCCTTGAGTGAGAAATAAAGTTTCTGTCTATAAATTTAGTGGAAAGCACAAAAATAAGTGTTAAAAGATTTTTGTCCTTGAGCTTCCTAGCTATGTCTGAATTCCTATCTTTTCTACCTGTTCATGGAAAAACAAAATATCCAGGGGGGGGAGTTTATACATGCTGATAGACATAGAGTTTTTACTGTAATCTAATTAATTCTGGTAGTTATCTGGGTGCTAGCAATTTTTCAGATTGAATTTAGAATACTGGGAATACAATGTTCCCATTCAATACAATGTTCTCATTCAATCCAGGCTTTTATTTTATAGTTTTATAATCTTGTTGAATATATAATAAAGAAAATGTGTTTCAAATAAAGATAAATAAAAATGAGAGCAATATAAAAAAAACCAATAATAGATTTACTTAAAACTACTTTTTGAAATATCACAGGTATTATTATAGTTCAATCTTCTGTTCAAGAATAAAAGATATCTAAGCTATATTTTTATTTATTTGTTGATCCAATTTATATGGTTGCCCATTTAAATGAATGACTCTTGATGGCAAACAGAAATAAAATAGAATAGAAACAATAACCAACATTATAAAAATTCAAAATAAAAGAAACAACAAACCAAATCACTAACACAATGAAGAAATAGATCCCTGCCTGGGAAATAACCAAATCTTTAATGCCTTACAAATGGCCAGCAGGGTTGGGGCCATCCTAGTCCACAGAGGGAGAATTTTCCACAAGATGGGCACTAATAGCAGAAAAGGCATGTCTTTTTAAAAAATAAATTATCTCCCTCTCAATACATTTCTATGTAATTTTACACTATTAATCCAATTATTTCTTTCTCTTCTTATCAATCTATGTTTGATCATTTGTATCAGACAGTCTTTATTCTTCTTCTGCTAATATACAATTTTTCTTACACTTTTTAATCCTACTTTTCTTAGACTTTTGTCACTAATTCCTACTTCTTCTATAATACAAACTACCTTTTCCAAATCCTTATTTCTTATTTATATTCCCTAACCACTTGTACCATTTTTTCCAAATTAAATAATACGCTTTCTTAATTTCCTTGCTCCATCTCTGCACATTGTGTTGTTCTTCCATTTTTGTGCATATGCTATTCTAGCTGCTGTAAAAATATCTAGAATTAGGTACACGGTCTCTTTACCGTATTTTGTTGTGGTTAAGCCTAATAAAAAAGCCTCTGGTTTCCAATCCCTATTTTATTTCCTGTGACTTCCAACAAGTTTTTGATTTTAACCCAGAATTTTTTGGCCACCTCGCATGTCCACCATGTGTGGTAGGTACTACATCCCATATGCTTTCTCGCATTGCTAACACATTGGGGGTAAGTTTGAAGATATTTTTGCAAATCTCGCAGGCACAGATGCCATCTATAAAACATTTTGTACTGGTTTTCCTTGTACGTCACAGACATAGTCAATTTCAAATTTGTTCCCCAAAATCTTTCCCATCTTTCCAATTCAATATTATAGCTGAACATTTTTGCCCATCTTACCCTAGTTTCCTTGACAACCTCCTCCATTCTATATTTTAGTAAAAATTTATATATTCTCCCAATCATTTTCTTCTCCATATTTTGAATTATCTAATTCCTGTTGTTCCAGTTGTATTTCATATGTTCTCAGTAAAGGTGGAGATAGCATCCATGCATGGGTTGACATTGTCCACCTTCCGATTGGACTGAGTCTGATTAAAATTAATTAAGCCATGCCTCTGTTGGTAGCCTTACCCAGCTTTTCGACTCAGTTCACTTCGAAAGAAGGAACGTGTCATCATTAGCTCTGTGAAATAGTTCATAATAGGATTTATATTTGAGAGAGAATTCCTTGATAATTGAATTTTATACAGTTGCCTGGATTGGGAGAGTAGGCATAGCATTGCTGGGGCAGTCAGTTAGACTAGAGCTGAAGAGCCTGTGCCCATTGCTTGCCCTGTGGAGAATTTGCCTACCCAGTTGGCCATTGGCAACGCAGGAGAGAGTATAGTGCTCTTTGCTGTGCCATGGAGGCACAGATCCCCGCTTCTCTCCAGTTCCGAAAAGATTGTTGCTTTCCCTCTCGCCTTTACGAATCGCTGTGGCTGATCTCTCAAAGGGAACTTTGACAGATCGCCGGAGGAGCATGCCTGAAGCATTGGTGGCTACCGCGCAATCATGGCTTCTCCGAGCGCTAATTTCACCGCTAACCTGCTGTGATCATAAGGAGAGGAGCAATTGACAATGGAGCGGAACATTCCTCTTGTCGCTGGTACAGCGCAGCTATTTGGACGGCAACCATGCGGCCCCTAGCGCTAACCATTTGATCCCTCGTGGTCTGGACTACGCCGTCGGCACTAATTAGCTGACTTTACAGGCGATCAGCCCTGGATCTTGGCAGCGATCAGCGGCAGGTGAGCATCAGCGCTGGGCTCTGAACAGCATTTCCCTGACAATTATAGGCTACAGGGCAAGACTTGAAGGTCTCAGAATTCCATTGACTGCTGTCAGCGGGCCGTTAAAAAGGGTGCAGGGTGCCATTTTGTATTGTATCTAGTGGCACAAGATGGTGGAGTCTGCCTTTCCAGCTGAGGCTTCAATTGACTCTGAATTGATTCTGATCCCTAGGGGGAAGGGGGTGACAGCTGACCAAAGACTCCTTATGATGGTGGAACCTTTCACCTCACACGCTACACCTAATCCCAAAGGGTGAAAAAAATCTGATAAATCAACTGGCCATTTCAAACCAAAAAGGCCTCCACTTCTGCGAAGGGTCAGGACAAGTCAGCCAAAACACAAGGTTCTGCAGCTACACCTCGCAGGCCTCGTTCTACATCCTCCAAAGAGGACCAGGCCTCCCATACCAGCAGCAGATTGTTCCAGCTTTCTCCCCTTGAGCTAGGCCCAGACCCTGGCCCATTTAGCCTGCTATTTCCAATTAATACTGCAGGCCTGGGGGGGTGGGGGGGGGTCAGGCCCTGATCTCCCAGGGCAGATTCTGACAGCCAATCAGAGTGGGACTGGGAGTAGCAGGCCTGTTGAAACCACTTTCACTCCTACAGCAGCAGGGCTTTATTCAGACATGCAGATGACCTCCCTAGCCCTGCCCAATATTCAAGACATAATTGCATCATCTATTAGCCAGGGCATTGCAGCAGGTTTACAGCAGGGGTCAGGGCCAGCCCCTCCAATAGTTCCAGTAGCTCCACCCAGTACAGTACCAGAGCTTGCCATGCAGGGGGCATGTCACCACTTCAATCTCACTGTAGCCCGTCCCCAGTGTCAGGGAATGGAGAGATAAAGGATTGTGAGTTCTTTGGGGACAAGGAGGCAGTTCTGGAGAAGACCTCCTTCTCAGGCTTGTTCCAACCGACCCACTTTAAGACCCTGCTAACCAAGGCCAATGCTTCGGCCAGTTTTGGGGCACAGGCAGCAACACCAGCTCTTGTGGTGACCCCCGCCACTGCAGATTCCTTTTTTACAGAACACACCATTGATATGGACACCATTCCAGCTCCAAAGATGTTCCTCGAATAGGTGTCATCAACATCAGGCCCTACACCTTCGTCAGTTGAAAAAAAAAATTACAATGTGGCCAGTGACCTGGAACAGTTACTCCAGGTCCTGCCGATTGACGCCTCAGTGGCGGCCCTCTACATGGCAACCATCAATCACAAGAGGAGGTCCTCAAACCGGTGGACAAGATGGCTAACCTCATGATGCAACTAGGTCATCAGGCAGCGGCTCGGGCAGTGCGTGCCTCTACGTCAGCATCTTTCTTCTTGCGGTCATGCCTCTTCTGGCTCCAACAACTTCAGCAGTGAATTCCTGCAACAGATTCGAGGGCCATCAAGATCTGAACAAGATAGTGGCTGCGGTTCAGTTTATGGCCGATGCTATGCTTAACGCCACACTTTTTGCTTCCCGGGCCATGGCCTCTGCGGTGGCCTCATGTCATCTGCTGTGGCTCTGTCAGTGGCAGGCAAACATGAGGCATAAGTGTCGCCTGGCCTCGGCCCCTTACAAAGGGGGTCCTTGTTTGAGGAGGCTCTAGAGCCACTACTGATAGAAAATCAGGATAAGCAAAAGGTTTTGCCCTCAACCTCCCGAAAAGGGGGCGCCCACTGAACACCTTATACCAGGAGGCAGCCCTTTCGGGCCCCAGACTACAGTACCTCCTTTCGGGGTCATGACTTTGGTTCCTCAGATTTCAGGTCCCAGGGCGGGTATCATCAGAGACAGATATCAGAAAACAAGCCCTTTCGGGGGAGTGGAGATCGCAATTTCGGCAAGTCATAAGTCCCACGAGACCTCCATACCCATTGGGGGGCTTTTAGCATTTTTCACAGACCAATGAGGCAAAATCATCTCCAACGACTGGATACAGTGTACCATTAGCTCAGGCTTAGCTCTAGAATTTCTCTCCACACCCCCAAGTTTCTTTATTCATTGCCCGGTGTCCCGCAATCCAGACAGACAAACCCTCATGAATTCGGCAATACAACAACACCTGAACATTAGGGCTGTCCAACTGGTTCCAGATGACCAATTACATCAAGGTTTCTATTCTATTCTTTTTGTTATTCCCAAGGCCTCAGTGGGGTGGAGAGCAATTCTAGACCTAAAATGGCTCAACCATCACCTAAAATATCGAAGGTTTAAAATGCATTCTTTGCATTCTATTTTAGCAGGTATCGGGGAGGTGACCTCCTCACGTCTTAGTGCTTAGTTACACATCCATATTCTGCACAAACACCGCAAATTTCTGAGGTTCTGTTACGGGGGGGGCACTATCAGTACAAGGCCCTGCTATTCGGCCCTTCCTCTGCTCCCTGGGCATTCACCAAGGTGCTGGCAACATTGGGAGCACATATGAAGGCTTTGCCGGTATGTGTCCAATGCTACTTCAATGATGTGTTGTTACAATCCAGGTTACTATCTCGAGCAAGGCAGGACCTAGAGATAACAATACACACCTTGAAGGCCCACAGGTTCTCTATAAACAGAGACAAAAGTTATCTTGAACCCACCATCGGGATTTTACACCTGAGAGCGTGGATTGATTCCAACTCCAGGAAGGTTTTCCTGTCACAGGATAAGCAAGCGAATATTAAACAACTGGTTGGGGAAATATTGAGTCAGTGCAAGGTCTCCCTAGCCACCTTGTCCCACTTGCTGGGGAAAATAGTATTGGCTAGCAACACTGTGCCTTGGACACGCCTACACGCTACAGTGTAGGACCTACAGGGGTTTCTCTTACCCTTTCAGAAGGCACGCAGGAGTACATCACTAGTGAAAGTCCTCCGCTCTCCGTTGGTGGAGGTCGATGGCCATCACCAGGGGCTGCCACTTCAGGGTCATTCACAGGGTGACTGTTATCGCTTGGGGGAGGGCATCTGCAGGCACAGATGGCCCACAGACAATGGGACCAGGTAGACAGAATTCACAACATCCACCTGGCCCTCCAGAGTTTTCTCTGCACTGTTGCAGTCCAATACGTGTTAGTCTTGACAGACAATGTGGCCGCCAAAGCCCACGTGAACTGTCAAGGCAGCACGAAGTCCAAGGCTCTCATGGAGGAAGCCAAGGAACTGGGCTTCTGGGCGGAGAGGCACTTGGCTTCGTTGACAGCAGAACACATCTCGGGGGTGGCAAATGTTTGGGCTGACTGGCTCAGCTGAGCCAAGGTGGACCATGCAGAATGCGCCTCCATCCTCATCTATTCCAACTGATCTCGGATCGCTTCGGATTGCCAGTTGTGGACCTGTTCACTACCCCAGACAACACACAGCTCCCCTACTTCTATGCGAGGTTTCGGATGCAAGGGGTGGAGGGGACAGACACTCTCAGGTATCAATGGCCCTCCGGACTTCTTTATGCGTTTCCCCTGCTGCCTCTGATTCCTCGGGTGTTGCACAAGGTGATAACTGAAAAAGCAGAGGTGATTCTGGTGGCCTGTCATTGGCAACGACAGCCGTAGTTCGCCAACCTACAGACCTTGTCGGTGGCGAGATCCTGGAAGATCCCTCAGGCAGAGGGTACCCTCAGCCAGGGGTCGCTGCAGCATCCGGACCCTCAGTAGCTCCAGTTGACCGCCTGGCGCTTGAGTGGGACTCTCTGAGGGAGCACAATTTTTCCTCCAGGGTCATAGGCACGATCCAAGCCTCCAGGAGGCTCTCCATGGTCTGCATATATGATGCTACATGGCGTAATTTCTGTAAATGGTGTGACACCATGGCTATTCGTCCTATCACTGCTTCTGTACCCCAGATATTGGAATTTCTCCAAGACGGGCTGGAGAAAGGTCTATCACCTAATAAACTGAGAAGGCAGGTAGCAGCTCTGCTACTATTCTGATGTGGCGGAAGGGGCAACCTTTGTCCCATCACCCGACTATAAGGAGGTTCTTAAAGGGCACGATCAATTTGAGATCACCGGTGGTCCACAGCTACCCCATGTGGGATTTGTCCAAGGTTTTATTAGCTCTAACTGGGGGCCCCTTCAAACCTCTCTGCTCTGTTGAACCTCAGTTCCTTACATGGAAAGTTGCCTTCCTGATGGCTATTACCTCCGCCAGGAGGATCTCAGAACTGTGGGCTCTGTGAGGGAGAATCTTTGCACCTTCCACACCGACAGAGTGGTCCTATGGTTAGACCCTTCGTTTATACCCAAGGTTTCCTCCTGGTTTCACCAGGCCCAGGAGGTTATTTTACCCAACTTCTGCCCCTCACCTAACCATCCCTTGGAGAGATGGTGGCACAAGCTGGATGTGTGACAGGCCCTTAAGGTCTACATCAGTCACACCTCTGCTTGGAAGGTTGGAAGCGCTTTTTGTATCTTTCCAGCCCATGACACTAGGACGGAAGGTGACTTCCTCAACCATCAGCAAATGGCTCCGCAGCTGTATAGCTAGGGCATACAATTCACAACATGAGTCGGTGCCTAGAAGTATAACCGCACTCTAAGAGAAGTGCAGCTTCTACGGCAGCCTGGGCAACACAAGTCTCTCTCGATGAGATCTGCAGGGTGGCCACCTGGGCTTCACCTTCCCCGTTCATTACCAACTATAAATTAGATAAATTTACATCTGCAGAGGCAGCATTTGGTCTTAAAGGCTGTTCATTCTACAGCACCTGTTCCAGATCAGTCTGAATCCCTCCCATAGGTACAATAGGACTTGGGTATGTCCCATGCATGGATGCTATCTCCACCTCTATTGAGAAAGGGTGTTGGTACTTACCTGATATGCCTCTTCTAATAGGGTGGAGATAGCATCCATCCTCTCCCTTCTATAGGACTGATCTGCATTCGGACAATTCTGAAATACCCTTGATATCATTCAGGTTCTTCATTGTCAAGTTGTTGTTTGCTATGACTTAATTGTTGATGAGTTACTGTTTACTACAGTTAATGTTCGATGCCATGTTGATTCTAAGTTCTTTCGCCAAAAAACTGGGTGAGGTTAGCAACAGGGGCGTGGCTTAACTAATTTTAATCAGACTCAGTCCAATCGGAAGGTGGACAATGTCAACCCATGCATGGATGCTATCTCCACCCTATTAGAAGAGGCGTAACAGGTAAGTACCAATGCCCTTTTTAATGTTGCTATTGTATTTTGATTTACCTTGTTCTGTCAATTCTTGTATTGTTTTTAAATTCCCCTGTTCACTAATTAGGTCTTCATATCTTTTTAATTTGTCTATGTCTGTAAAATTTGGGTGTTTTATTGTTTCTATCGGGGGAAACAAATTTGGGGTTTTAATATAATGGGCTTTTTATTTTTTTGCCAATTTTGTAACAGTGCATTTCTAATTAAGTTCCTTTGGAAATACTTATGGGTTTTATTTTTCCCATCCCACAGGAATGTGTGCCATCCCACTTGTCAGTCATGCTTTTCTAAGACCAGAATCCTTGTGTTTTTCAATTCAATCCACTCCGTCACCCATGTTAATGATGCTACCTGGAAATATAGCTCCCTATCTAGGAGTTCTAAACCTCCTCTTTCCTTGCTATCCTGCAATGGTTTTAATTTAATCATTGGCTTTTTCCCTTGCCATATAAATTTAGACATTAATTTATTTAATTCTTTAAAGAATAGTTTCTCTGGATTTATTGGTGTCACTTGGAATAAAAATAAAATTCTTGGGAGTATATTAATTTTTATTGTAGCTATGCATCCCATAAGCAACAATTGTATGTTTTTCCAGCTCTCTAAGTCCTTTTTTATTTATATTATTAATTTATTATAATTATTCTCCTTAATTGAGGAGCATTTTGCCAATATGTTTAGAAAGCCTTTAACAATGGACACACTGGCATTTTTTTTGAAGCATTCTAGGAAGAAAAAAAAGGATGAAGTCAAGGGATACCATTCTAAGTCCTATCTCCTTAATTATTTTAAGGATCACTTTATCCCATAATGAAGAGGTTAATTTGGGTGGTTACAATAATTTAGTCCTCCTTGAAAATGAATCAATATATAATTTGTAGATTGTTGTGTACCTGTAACATGCATCTTTTAACTTTTAAAGTTGAGATAAACAATTAAATTTATTTCCATGCAATGTTGCTCCAAATCTGATTTTATTAAAGAAAAATCTCTCTTATTCTAGACTCTGGGGTGAACCTGTAAATCTGCGAGAACAACATGATGCTTTAGAATTTTTTAACTCTTTGGTGGATAGTCTAGATGAAGCTTTAAAAGCCTTAGGTCATCCAGCAATGTTAAGTAAAGTTTTAGGCGGATCCTTTGCTGATCAGAAAATCTGTCAAGGTTGCCCTCATAGGTATGTGTTTAGTTATCTAATAGGTCATTGTATAAAATATGTATACTTCTTGTATTAACATTCTAAATGATGTTTTGGAAACTGGTGATGTATAAATATTTCACACTGTAACTTTAATAAAAATACTGGAATGTTTTAATTCCTTGAATTTACTTTTTCATGTAAGTTCTATACTGCTGATCATTTGAGGTTTAATCCAGATCAGTGGTTGATTTTGTTGATACTTGTTCATGCATCTTATTTGGCAATATACACAGGAAGCCTTTACAGCTATTTTTTTTTTCAGCCGCTGATAAAATCATATTGAAAAACCATATGTACAGTAATAGTTTGTCTTTGAGCTTCCTTGTTTCTAAATAAAAATCAAAATGGAAGTGTCAGCCTCCGCTTGCTGCTGCTTCGGCTGCCATTGAAACAGGAAGGGGGGGGGGCATGGTAGTCGTGGATGACAGGAAGCTTCTTCTTGTCCTATTTTGTATCAGCTTGGGTTTATTTGTTCTTCCATATTCCTTTGTTAGTAAATGTAACCTTTTATAATTTTTTATTAGCCTTTCTACATAAAGAAAATAGCAATGCATTGTTGCCTTTTATCCAATGGGTAGCTTATGATTTATAATTACAGTTGTCAGTCTAAATTATTCTGCCTAAGTATATATTTTAAGTTTTCAGTATACATTTTATTCTATTTTATTCTATTCATAAAATTATTGTCAGCTGCGACTTCATTTAGTAATCAGGAAAGAAACTACTCAACTCCATTTGTTTGAAATTAAGTATACTTTTACTAATTATAAACGAACAGTAGCAAAGCTAAGCTGAATCTGGTTAATTAGGCTCGAAAGCGA